TAGCGGTGGCTTTGGCTTAGGTTTAGAAAGATTAATTATGTTCCTCAGTGGCACCGAAAACATCCAAGATACGATTGGTTTTCCTTGTTTTCACCAACACCTTGAATTTTAAAACTCATGCTCTACTCCGATATTGAAAAAATCAAAATCCAAAATTATGCTTGTCAAGGCTGTGCTAATTGCTCCTCTTTAAAAGCCCTTGACTTGCGCACTCGTCAAGGAGTATTTACTTACCTTATAAAGAAGAGGAATTGTTACTTAAGTCGAATTCAAGACAAGATAAAGAGGTTGCAAGAAAAAGAAGCCGCCGTTAAAATAGAAATCAGAGAGTATCAAGCACAATTGGATTTAGAAATGTTAAAATAATTATATGGATAGCGTACGTCCATAGTCCATACCATGATTAAGAACTTTTATGACAAGTACAGCCAGGCTACTTTTGAAGCCGAAAAATTAAAAGATGTTCCATCTCAGTTTCGCCATATTGCGAAAAGAACTTGACGAAAATTAGATATCCTTGATGCTGCTCCTAATTCAAAAATTTGCGAAGAAATACTAGGTAAAAAGAATTACAAGCCTTTAAAAGGTGATCGCAAAGGTCAGCATGCCATCAAAATAAATGATCAATATCGTATTTGCTTTCGATGAGGTCCTAATAATAATGCTTACGATGTTGAAATAAATAAGCATTATTGGGATTAAAATTAACTTAATATTAAATAAAATTTTACATTAATAATTAACCTAATCAATTTATAATAACTATGAAAGCCTTAAACCTAACTCGTGCTATTCATCCCGGAGAAATCCTCAAAGCAGAATTATTAACTCCGCGAGGCATTAGTCAAGCCGAATTAGCCCGTAGTATTAATGTTTCGGTACGCCGAGTTAATGATATTTGCCAAGGTAAACGAAGTATCACTCCCGACACTGCTTTGCGTTTAGCCCTCTATTTTAATTTAGGCAGTCAAGGAGTAGAATTTTGAATGAATTTGCAACACAATTACGAAAAACATTATTGAAAAAGTATTTTAGCCAGTCAAGAAAAAGAAATTAGAAAACAGGTTCATTCTTTACCTCGTTCCCGAGGAAATCCGCTTAGAAGTTTACTG